TTGTATTCAGAACAGTCCTGAATGGCTTTGTATTCAGAACAGTCCTTCTAGAATGGCAGTCGTCCAACGCTAGAGAGACTAGTCTATCCTGCTATTTAACTCATAACAGGGGAAAAGTGAATCATTACTATGACATCTTGGGAAAATAGCGGAGTCGTTTCCTGTCTCATTCTCCACGTTTTTGTATTCAGAGTAGTGCTTTTAAACTGATGAGGAGGGGAGATCATGCTTTAGGTTGGTATTATTGGAGGTGTCATGACTGGTCAGTGGAAAGTGCCTAACGATATTAAATTGACTGCAGATGCCTATATAGACTTCCGGTGAGAGCAACTTGAACCTTGGTCAAAAAAGCAATGTATCACGTTCAGGAGAAGCATCATATTCATGCAAGACTAGCAGCTAGTTATCTTCTGCCTTCTTAATACCTGTTCTTTTACAGTCCTCTCCCCTTAATGTTTTTTTCTTATATTCTCTAACACTTAGTAACCCCTTGTGTCTTAGTGGCTTTATTGCTTTTCTTAAGATGAAATGATATAAAAAGGAAAAAAATAAGTGGATTTTAAAATAGATTAATAACTAGCAGCATGGCCCAGCATTGCCCGTGCTTGATTTAAAAATCGTACGACTCATACAGCAATCGCTATCACTTGACTTAAAATATTTTTGCCCTTCCTTGCCTTTAAAGGAGTGCCCTTTGCCGTGCTGATGCTGCTACATGCCTTACTTCTTGCCTATCTCACACTGCGAATTTTTTCTAAGCTCTATACTAAACATTAAATCTGTTACGAAAAAAGAACTAAACAAAATGAACACAAAACGATCAGCTTTAAAAAAAAAGGACTCGTAACTGGAAAAAACGAATGAAAAAAGAATGTTAACAACAAATACTTTTTCACATCCAACCCAGTTCTGCGGAATCAGAATCAACGTTGAGTTTAAGCATGCGAATGAGCCAATTGGAGTAAAGTGCCATGCAGATTTAAATTTTTCCCACTTGTGACGAATGCAGCTATCGATTTTTTTTTTTTGCATGCTAGCATGCTAGTTGACAATCGTGTCAGTCAGCTGTTGGCTCTCACGCTGGCCAATAGAATCTTCCTGCCTATTCGTGGCAACCAACTATTGGCTCTCATGCTGGCCAGTACAAAACGGCCGCAAATTACATGAAAACTGCCGTAGAAGCATGAAAAATCGATTACTTTTCCACTATCGATGGGAGTTGGGAAATGCAACGTCGGTCTTGGCCTTTCCCGCTAACTTGGAGCATGTGCATCTAAATTTTGGTGCAAATCCGTCGAAAATTGTGGCCTTACATTCGTTACACACACACACACACACACACACACAGACATACACACACACACACACACACACACACACACACATCCTGCCTTTTATAGATAGAGATAATTCTCCCTCGTATGCAGCGCATAAAACTACGGAGTATCTGCAACAATTAAGTTTCTGTGGACCTGGGAAAATGAAGTGACCGGTCAGCTCTCCAGACTTAAATCTAATCGAAATCTTGTAGTGCATTCTGAAGCGACAGTTTTACAAGAATGCCAATTTAAAAGCAAGTGTGAACCTTGTGACAGGCAATAGTTTATGTATCACATGCAATTACATCAGACAAGAATCAGAAATTGACATTTTCCATGGACCATCGCCTTATCCATGTCATTTCAAGAAGAGGATCACATATCCCTTATTAACCAGCTCCACCATTATTATCTTTTCTTTTCTTTTTTTTAACTTTGTGTACTTGTGGATTTCTAAATGACTAGTTTCTGTGTATTTTGGCGGGACTTTACACTTTTTACAAGGTCCGCGCATAGAAATGTTGCCATAATGCTGTGAAAATTTCGTTAAATTCTAACCTGTAGTTTTTGGACAAAACGGAAAATTGTGACCTCGTTGATTAATTCGTTACTCTGGATATATCATAGTTTATTACTTCAAAATTTTCATGAAAATTAAATTTCGACATTAAATGACCCATAAGCAGTTGATATGTCGTTAAACAAACAGACAAATCTTCTCCATATTCTTTCACACTCAATACCACTACCTCCCGAGTCAGAGGGGCTTTATTGCCTTACTTGGGTGAAATGATTAAAGAAAATGATGACTGGCGTACGTGATATGAATGAAAGAAAAAAATGGTAAGAATTGATGAATATGAGGATGAGGAGGATAGATAACGATAGATGACTCTTGAAGACGGTAAGACTGTAGAGTTTAGGGAAACATTGGCGCGGAAGCCTGACACAGCCATGCATGAATTCACAAAATGACAATTCTTGAGTAAAAGTCTTAGAGGAGCCTTTGTCTCCCATTTGGAATACGGAGGAAATGTGTGCGATTTGACTCCGTGGATGTAGCATGTCCGAGCCGTAAAGGTCTGATCGGGAGGTGGGGAGGCTAAAGAAGGACACCCATCTCAACATTTGCCATGGCAATAGCGACGGAGAAGCGACAGGCTTGCAATGTTGGTTGTAGGGTGAAAAATAAGTGTTTCCCTACGAGACAGCGTAAACGATTTTGAACTCCATTAAGGCTTGAAAGTGCGGGTTGGTTCTATTTTAACCATTGCTACACACGATAGAAACCCAAGAAACGTGGCAGAACAATTATCGAACAAAACGACAAAGTTAGTAGGTTTTAACCAAAGGATGTTAGTTACATAACGTCCCCTTTCTGAAATTCACGCTTTGTCTTCACTTTTTTCTTTAATCATTTCACATCAAGCAAGACGATAATACCACAAGCAAGGAAGGAGGTTACTGGGAATTAAAGTGAACAAGAAGACTTTAGTGAGGGGAAAGGATAATAAAGCAACAGATTTCAAGAAAACTGGCGATTGGCGTTGCATTTAAATTTTTGAAGATTGTACGTGGCAGGGAAACAAAAATTAGGAAAAAATTTATACACAGGCAGAGAGTGGGCCTCATAAAATGGTTTGATAAACCATGACGCTGTCAACCACACTCAGAACTTTGTGGATCCCAACACTGGACTCACGACGAATCGAGTTGAAGCATTGTGGCAGCGTGCCCAAGCTAAATTTAAGGCCATGAATGGCTTCACCAACAGGAGATTGATTTCCGAATACCTGGCGGAATTTATGTGGGCTCAAAGGTTTGGTGATTCGCCATTTTTTCAACTTCTGGTATCAAATTGCCACGGAACTTAATCCATTATGAAAATATTGATATTTTGTAGGGAATTATGATCTTACCTTTACAGTGATAAAGAAAAAGAGGAAAAAGATTAAAAATGCGTATGTGATGCCCAGGAAATAACGAACAGGTAAAAGTAGTCAGAGAAATAAAATAAACGCGGGCAAAAACATGGCGGAGGTGAGCGCGAAAAACATGGCGGAGGTGAGCGCGAAAAAAGGGGGAAGGTGGGTTCGAAAGTATAGTAGCGTCAAGACATCTATTATTCTAACATCATAAATGAAACTGTCTTTGATTTGACCGTAACGTAGCTTCCCTGTGCCTTCTCTATAAGTAAACCCAGGGTAATTGGTCTGATGAATTTTCCTCTTTGCTACCTAGACTTTGACTTCAAGCACAATACTAGATTGGCGACAAGGTCTCATCAATTTACAGTTAAAATGGCTAGATGTAACCGTAAGTTCTATGTTAACAGTTTCTTCTATCGCACTTCTTGCTTGTGGAACTCTCCTCCGGCTTCTTGCTTCTCATCCAAGTTTCATCTAGAAAAATTTAAATGCAATGTCGATCATTATCTTCTGTCTTCTTATTTCCCGTTCTTTTATTATCTTCTCTTCTTACTTGTAGATTTTTTTTTTCTCATATCCCCAAACACTTTGTTCTCCTTCCGTCCTAGTGATTTTATTGCTTTGTTTGGGGTGAAAAGATTAAATATAAAAAAAAAAAAAAAAACATTCTTTTGGTTGGTTAAACACACGAGACGGCAATGAAGAGGATATTTTTTCGAAAGAAAGGGACAAGATGACAGTTGGCGACGTAGACATCGGCGCTATTACACTTTCGCATCCCACCAGCAGTCAGTATGGACTGCATTGCTTGCAACAGCCATTGTAGGGGAAACAATCATTCGAAAGAGGCCGAGGATTAGCTGTGGAAACATTAAGAAAGGATTTAGACATTTCTAGCCAAAACACTGGGGTTGACTGGAATCAGCTTTGCTGTGATGCGTGCATTTAGTATTTCATCAACCACCATCAGAATGATAAAGAAAAACAGGAAAGAGTTTTTAAAATGCGTGTCTGATGTTCTGAACAGGATTCACAGGAAAAAGTAACCAGAGAAATAAAATAGTCGCGGACAAAAACATGGCGGAGGTCGGTGAGAAAATGTGATAGCGTCAGTTTTTCTCTCTTTGCTAAGTTTCCCCTTCCTTTCTGCCATCTATTCACAGAAACTCGTCAGTTAAGTGACTCGTTGCCTTCTCTCTCACTTGCCCTCAATATGCCACGTGAGGTTTATATTTTCCAAACCACCCTTCCTCATTACGTATTCAATGAATTTAAGCTCTCTTTTTCTAATTCTAAACATAACAGTTCTTTTTGTTGCCATTTTATTTAAGATTTCCTTGTTACTTACATTATCTACATTATTCGGACTGTTATCCTTATCTTCATTGCCATATTCACAACATTTCGGCTGTTGTACGCTCCGGCCTTCTTCAGCCGGTAGGAATTTCGAACCGTATTTTCCATCCTCTGTTAAAACACTTCCCAGATATTTAAACTTCTGCACCTGCTTCATGTTGGCATCACTAATTTGCATCTCGCATTTTTGCTGAAAAAAAAAAGGAAAGAAAATGTTTATACTAGTTATGTAACATCCCCTTTCTGAAATTTGCTCTTTGTCTTCACTTTGTCCTCTGCACAAATGACAAATGCCTGCGGTGTGGGAAAACGTTTATGTTGAGGGTATTAAATGCGAGTCTCATGATCGAAAATATTTTCAGAATTTTAAAAAGCAACAATTTTTTTCTCTTTTTAGAACGCAGCACGAATTGTGACTCTGGAAAATTTTGTGGATAATTTAATAGGTATGTATTAGATTTATTGTTATTATTATTATTATTATTAATATTATTATTATTATTATTATTAAATTATTTTTTATTATTAAATAGTATTATTACTATTATTATTAAATTATAATTTAATAAGTATGTATTAAATTTATTATTATTATTATTATTATTATTAAATTATAATTTAATAGGTATGTATTAAATTATTATTATTATTGAATTATTATTATTATTAAATATTATTAAATAATATTATTTTTATTATTATTATTAAATTATTATTATTAAATATTATTATTATTACTGAATTACAATTTAATAGGTATGAATTAAATTTATTATTATTATTAAAATATTATTATTATTATCATTAATAAATTGTTATTATTTTTAAATATCATTAAATATATTAGCATTATTATTAAATTATAATTTAATAGGTAAATATACACATGCTCTAATTGTTTTTTTAAGCTAGACTGACCATCTTGATTGATGGGGTAAGACATTTCAAATGAATTATATGGGCTAACGTGAAGAATTTAGATTGTGTTGTTAGTTTTTACTACATGTGAACGTTAGGTTATTTCATGTCGTAATCAAACTCCTTTTAAATTATATTAGAATCTATAAGCATTTTTACGTTTGGAAATTGGTCAATATTGATTTTTTTATATCTGAATCTATAAGCATTTCCTTGATTCAGGGCAATAATGATTGTTAGTTGAAAATTAGATAAACATACTGTTTAATAAATAAACCGTGCGTCTACTCAAATACGAGTATCCACTATGAATAAAATAACGATTAGGTAATACAAATCTGTCGGAATAATAAATAAAAAAATCCATCCCTTTCTTTAGAAATTGCTTTGTTTACGTTAGGATACAAAACTGAGCAGATATGTCTATTTCAAGAGTCAGAGAAAAATCTGTGTTTAAAGGCAGACACAAGGCGGTAGACATAAATAAATAAATATAGTGTTTACCATATTTTCCGGCTTACAAGACGCTGTGGCTTGGAAGACGCACCCTAATATTGGGAAGAAATTTCTAAGAAAAAAAAACTGTCATTTTCATACAGCAACACATTCACCATGCGTCCCTCACATACTTGCGCCACGTATTGTTTACATCAACCATTCATTTGATTTTGTTTGTATTGCAATGACATACTAGTCAAGAGCAGAAAGGCTCCGTCTGCTGCTGCTAGTAAACAGAGAATCTTTAAGTTTGTGGCTCGGCTCCAGGAAGGTTTATAGTCTAACGTTACATCATATAAAAGGCTGAATTAGATAGCTAACATTATAGTGTAATGACTCAACATACAAATCCTCGTCCCTATCTGTGAAGCCAATTTGGTGACCGCCCAAGCTTACTTGAACCTGGGCGTTACCTTAAATTCGTCTTTGAAGATGCACACGTATTTTGTCAGGGTATTTTGGGGGGGTGCGTCTTGTAAGCCGGAAAATACGGTAATTAATAAACGGAGCATCTACTCATATACGAGTATCCACTAAAAAACATTACAGTAATAAAGATTTGAGTCTATAAACATTTACTTCGTTCGGAGAAATAAATATTGGTCATTTATATTAGTATCTGTATTTACTTGGTAGGTAAAACCTTTTTTTTATGGAGAAGGTTTTAGTCCTCTGCAGAGTTCCCGCTCCGAAACCATAAGTCACATCTGATAGAAAATAAAAGGGAAACAAATCGTTCTTGGGAAATATATTGTCAGATTTTATTATGCAAGTCAATATTTTCATTATAAAAACTGTACAGCCAATGTTGGGAGGGCTATCAAAATATATGATAAATACACCTTATGATTTTCAACTGGTAGTATTTTATTAAAAATATCTTTTATTTAACCCCAAAGCAAGACGACAATACCACTAAAATGCAAGGGTTACTGATAGTGAAAAAAAAAAAAGAAAAAAAGAAAAGACAATAGCGAGTAGAAAGGACAGTAAAAGAATTGATTTAAGGAAGACAGAAAATAGCAATTGAAGTTGTACTTAAATCTTTTTTAAAATTGTAAGAGGCAGGGAAGCAAGAAACGGGAAGAGATTTCCACAGACGAGAAGTACGAGAAAAGAAAACGTTAGAATAGAACTTACGGTTGCATCTAAATATTTCAGCATTAAAATGATGAGACCTAATTGCCAATCAAGTAGCATGTTTAAATTGATGCAGTCAACGTATCAAAGAGGAAAACTCATTAGAAAAATTGCCATGAAAATAATTATAGAAAAGACAGAGAGAAGCCACAACTCAGCGTTGAGAAATTGACTGAAGTGCTGAAGCTGAGATGCCAGGTCAGTGCCGATAATATTACTTTGGATTTTGCGAGTACATTTGTTTTGGCTCTTGTAAGGGGGGTGAATTTGCAATGGATCTACACAGAATACTAGTCCCCTATATTAACTTACTAACTGGAACGCTTTATTTATGGTAATATTAAAGAAAAATTTGAAAACAAAAATTTCCGGTCAATGTGTCTATCTCGCAAATCGATTGAAATTGCTAGGACTGCTGCTAGGAAAGTTGGTTCACTGTGTCGTGCTGGAGAATTTTTGTCGCCAGAATTTATCTGACATATTTATAAGTCTACCATTCGTCTATGCTTTGAATATTGCTGCTACAACATCTGGTCTGGGTCTTCTGCTATGTATTTACAGATCCTTGATAAAATCCAAAGAGGAATCTCAGCATGTGCCGTTTCTATAAATATTTCCATAGTAATTGTCCTGATAAACTTTCCTCTGTAGTACCAAGATTTTATTAATTTAAGTACAGTACTAGATTGGCAGCAAGGTCTCATCATTTTACAGCTGAAATGGATAGATGTAACCGTAAGTTCTATGCTAACAGTTTCTTCTATCGCACTTCTCGCTTGTGGAACTCTCTTTCGGCTTCTTGCTTCCCAGTCAACTTTGATCTTCAAAAATTTAAATGTAATGTCAATCATTATCTTCTGTTTCCTTAGTTCATGTTCTATTATTAATAATGTTTTTTTCCTCATATACATTCACACTGAGTAACTCTTTTGCGTCTTAGCAGATTTATTGTCTTGCCTGGGGTGAAATGATAACAAGAAAGTTTTTGATTTTTATTTATCCGATGAAAACGAGGAAGAACACACAAGACTATACATGCGAAGAAACTAAATGTTATATTCATATTCTAAATGCGATGTTTGAAAACCCTCGGTACTAATGCTGCAATGTTATTGGTCCTGACCTGGCATATTGGCTTTAGTCACTTTGCCACCAACGTATCATAGCTTCCTTGTGTCTTTTCTATAAATACTTTCATGCGGGGGGGAGGACTTCGACATGGTTAATGGTTAGCAATCTGGTGTGTCTAGATCAATTACAACTGAATAGTGAGTTTGACCCTCACTATGCGCCGCATGCTTTGCTTATTAAATCACTATAAATACTTTCAGTGTAACTATTCTGATGAATTTTCCTCTATGGTAACGAAATTTTGTGAATTTAAGCGCAGTACTAGATTGGCAGCTAGGTCTCATCATTTTACAGTTCAAATGGCTACATGTAACCGTAAGTTCTATGTTAACAGTTTCTTTCTCTCGCACTTCTCGCTTGTAGGACTCTCTTTCGGCTTTCTCCTTTTCAGTCAACTTTGATATTCAAAAATTTTAATGCAATGTTAATCGCTATCTTATGTCATCTTCCTGCTTTTTTTTTATTGTCCACTCTCCTTAATAGTGTTTTTTTTTCTTCTCATTTTCTTATATTCTCTAATACTCAATAATCCCTTACGTCTTTGTGGGTTTATTGCCTTTCTTGGGGTGAAATTATTATTATTATATATATATATACACAAATAAAGACAGATTAAGAATTTGCATTTACTTTTTTTTTTAAAAGTGCTCAATACAAATATTTGAGTTTGTGTGTTTATTTTCACGTGTAGAAAATTACGTCAAAACACAAGAATATATATATATATATATATATAATATATATATATATATATATATATATACACAGACACACACACACACACACACACACACATATATATATATATATATATATATATATATATATATATATATAAATGTAAAAAGAACGAAGAGTAAGATTTCAGCGTTCATATCATTAACTTAAAACAGAGCTCAATACAAAAGTAGAGCCGTAAATATTTATTTATTATGCAGTGTTACATTAGAATATGCACATACCCACTACAAAACTGTACATCTCGTTTCAACGTTAAAAAAAACGAAAACATTTTTAACGTTTCAAAATTAAAAAAGATAGTTTTGTGTTTTTTTAACGTTGAAACAAGATGTACAGTTTTGTAGTGAGTATATGCATGTCCTAATGTAACACTGCATAATATATATATATATATATATATAGAGAGAGAGAGAGAGAGGGATAGATAGATAGATAGATAGATAGATAGATAGATAGATAGGGAGAGAGAGAGCGCTTCGAAGGGTATTTACCCGACCTTCCCACGAAGCAGGATGTGGCACAAGGCCGATTTTTAATGTGGGGCAAATCGAGCCCGTAAGCTCAGGCAAAAATTCCGAGTAGACCCCGTATACACGGGGTTGGGTAGCTGTCTACCACCCCAGACGAGACTCTGCCCTTCGGCATATCCTCGTCTGGGTTCCTCTCTGCCCGAAGGCAGAGAGTTTGACCAATAGACTTGAAAGAGCGCTTCGAAGATATTCCAATACTTCTTGAGATAATCAATCTAAGGAAGTGATTCCAGTTCCGGCACAGTTGGGAAGTGACCAATCATATTCTCTCATACTGAGAAAATTAATCACAATCAAAGTTTCCTTATAAAGTACAATACCGCGATTGGCTGCATTTTCATTTATTTTTTTTTTATTTTTTTTATCTTAGAACTGGTCGTAATTTCGAGTTACGTTAATTATGTAAGTCGTTAAGTGAGGTGCGCTTGTACCAGTGAAGAAAAAGAAAACCAGTCAACATCAGATAGTTTTGCGACATTTGGAACATT